TAGGGGTTAAACTAACAACAACATACAGTACTTCGGCCAACCTAACAAGTAGCGACTAACGAGCACAAAATAACGACAAAGAAACAGACCCCTGAACATGAAACTTAAAGATGAGCCAAATTGCTATACAAGCCATTCTAGGCCTAAACCACATGTAAAGAGGCACTTCACACTTTAGTTAACTAAAACACCAACTCGTAACATACAGTCCTTCTATCACACATCGGTAGTAAACCTAAAGAGAAACTGAAGCATTCAAACGGACAAAGGAGGGTCGACAGAGGCCTTCCGCTCGCAAAAATCATCGACCAAAGAGAAAAAAAAGAACGAGTTAAGATCGAAATAGAGTTTACCTTTTCGGGGAAGCGAACTGAGCAAAGGTGAGCACCTCGATTTTTCCACCACAAGCACTCCAACGCAAATGACCAGTCAGAAACCTGGACAGAATCTCAAATCTAAAGGAAGAAATTTGGGGGGAAAATGGAAAACAAGATGAAGTAACGACGCTCGGATCAAAACTAAGTGTTCCCTCCATTTCAAGAATGTATTTTGTTGTAGCTATATTACAATGAAGTTCTCATTTCCATCCAAAACCTTTTTTTTACTGATGAAGAAGGAATAGAATATATATAGGGGAAATTAGGGTAGATTTTTGGGGGAAGGAGATGAAAATCCCATGAGATTGAGGCCCATTTTGAAATTCAAATCCTCTAAAAACTTACACCAAAATAGGGAAACACCCTTTTCCGAGCTCTTCAACCCCATTCTGAAAGGGGAAAGGAGAGATCGCTTGCTGCTGCGATTGTACAATGGATAGGGACGTCTGAGGAAGGAGACAAAGAACGCAGCGTACGCTTTCTGCATATTGACGCCGCTATTGCTTTCCGTCTAATTGATGAAATTATTGATGTTGTTGGAGCAATGTTCACACGTCGTTGAAGAGAGGGCGCGTACAGGGTCATTTGTGTCGTCCACGCGTTGCTGGAGTTAGCGTTGGAGAAGAAGACGTTGTACAAGGATCGTCTAGTACGCGCAACTGCTGTCTGTATGTATTATTGATGTCGGTTGTAATGAGTTGGATTTGTATATTGGTGTACGTGTGCTATTATTGGGAATGTATTTCTTTTGTTTTATGGGTAGGGTATTTGTTGTTAACATTGGGCTGGGAATTGGATAAATAGGAGTGGGCTGCTGGAAGAAGCAGGTTTGGGCCAGCTAAATCGCTGGAAATAAATAGATGAAGGCACCCAAAATTGGTGCCTTAAAGGGTTTGAAGAAATTAGCAAGGAAGTGGCTACAATTGCAATTACATAAGATTACAATTATAACCGAATGAAGTTAAAAACTTAGCCGATTTGAATTTGATTGGCGATTCGGCCAAAGTTAAACAAGATGAATTAAAATTTAATTAGTGAGCTTCTTAATCTTAGCAAAATAAAATAATTAACTTAATAAAAATAACTAATTCAACGACATACCTATCATTCGAACTAGATTAAATTAATAAAGCGTTTAACTTTAAAAATTTAGAATCTTTTCAAGATAGTTTTTAAATATTTGTAAAATGTGTTGGTTACATACGTAAAAATATAAAACATATTTGTCATTTAAATATTTCAAATATTATAAAAGTGAATAAAATTCTTGAAAATATCTTGAAACCTATTTTGGATTTTTATAAAATTAATTATTTCAAATCGTTCGGAATTTAAGAAGCTCGATGATTAATTCTTATCGGGGAAGGTCAAAATTGGGTGTCAACAATTGTCCCTCATTTTACTTGGATTGATGCAAGAAATTCGAGGAAAATGAAATTGACCAATCCAATTTTGACCGACCACACCTCCATCCAAAGAAAAGGGACTTGGTACGGACTTTAGGAATTATGGTCGTACCCCGGAAATGGGTCTTCTACATATCTCAGGTTATATGAGAATTCAGGCCACTTGTAGTTCAATACGCTTTATTTGACGCACTATTTGAAAAAAATTCGAAAGTCGTCCCGATATCGAATTATGAAGAGACCGGAATGTTTGGGAATAAGATTTGAGAGCGAATGTTGGAATACAGCCGAGTTTCAACACCGATCCTGCCTACATATCCCTCAATTTAGGGAATCAGACTGCTTGTAGTTCGACTCAATCAGTTGAATAGGAAATCTCTTAAGCTAAGATATCCTTCGGTTTGGGAAGAGCGACAAAGTAAGTCGAGTACGAAAAAAAGAATTGCAACCTCTTAGCCATGAATGTGGCATGCTTCACACTCATAATTAAGAACTTGCCTGGACATAATTTCCAAAGCTCTTGGGTATTGTCACTCAGATTGGAAAGTTGCTTCCGATAGAGACTAAAACTTTCCGGATGCGAAATTGAAACCAGGAAACCTAAATAAAAACCCAAATATAAACCCACATGCCTTCTGATAGGGGTGTGGTTTGATTGTGGTGGAAGTCGCTCCTCTGCTCGAGTCCTAAGAGTTTGGCACTCCTCTTTGGACTATGTCTCAGTTCGCTGCTAAGAAAAGTTCCACGTTGTGCTGCATCCTTTTTTATGTCGTCCGCACCTGTGGTTTGTTTTAGAGAATTCATCCTTTCGGATGCTCTCGACAAGGACTGAGATAAAACTCATTAGCATAAAAAATGCAATTCAAATGGGGGACAGTGTCTCTTACCGTGTTGACACTTAATTGTTCTCCTTGAACATTTGACGTCAACTCTATCGAGTTTCACGTGAAGTAAATAAAGCTTGTGTCTCATATTTGCAATACAATCTTCAGTGTACTCTTCTTTCGATGTCAAAGTAATAAAATAGGCAGATGTAATATGTTGATAGTTCTCTTGATGTTGTCTCTGCAAAGGAAAATGATGCAGTTGATGTTGATTCTCTTGTGATGGGTAAATCTTTCTCTTGCGATGCATAACTCCTTCTCTTGCTATGTATGAATCCTTCTCTTGCGATGTATGAATTCTTGCAATGCATGGTTTCTCCTTCTTGCAATGCATGAATCTCTTTTCTTGCGATGCATGAATCTTCTCTTGCAATGCATGAATCCTTTTCTTGATATACATGACTCTTTTTCCCGCGATGCATGACTTTTTCTCTTGCTATGCATGGCTTCTTCTTCTTGCTATGCATGAATCTCTCCCGCAATGCATGGCTTCCTTCTCCTACGATGCACGGATCTTTCTCTTGCGATGTATGGCTTCCTTCTCCTGCGATGCATGACTCTTCTCTTGCTATGCATGATTTCCTTCTCTTGCAATGCATGGCTTCCTTCTCTTGTTATGCATGATTTCCTTCTCTTGCAATACATGACTTCCTTCTCTTGTTATGCATGACTTATTTCTCTTGCTATGCATGATTTTCTTTTCTTGCAATGCATGAATCTCTTTCCCGCGATGCATGAATCTTCTCTTGCAATACATGAATCCTTCTCTTGCTATGCATGAATCTTTTTCCCGCGATGCATGATTCTTTTGTTGATGCCTCCCTGATACCGAACGAAGATGATGCTTCACCCAACAACATAGGTGATCTTCTGGGTTGTTCTTTGGGTGACGGTATCGTCTGAATTGACAATACAATAAAAATGACCCTCGGAGTAGTGGTATCATCTCATTTGACAATACGATATAAATGACTCTCCGGGTAGTGGTATCGTCTCAATCGATAATATAAATGAAATGACCCTCGAAATAGTGGTATCGTCTCATTCGACAATACGATATAAATTACCCTCCGGGTAAGAATATTATCATGTCTGATAATATAATGCAGATAAACGTGCTCCAGGTGTCTTTAATTACTGGAAAACAAAATAAAATTTCTCTCTTCGAGGTTTTAATTTATTCCATCTCTGAACATAATTGTATATTCATTATGGACCTCGCCTTGTTGGGAATTGAATGAAACAATGTTATTCATATTCCAAAATCTTTGATATAAGCAGCATAAAATATTTCTTGCATCCACAGAAAAATTATCAATTTTGGGGAGCTCCTTGCCCTTTCGACTTCTTTATATTCATTGAATGGAAGAATATGTTGATTTTGAGGCAACCTATAGACCTGCATCCACAGAAAAATTGTTAGTTTAAAAATGAATTGATCTGTGTTGATCTCTTCGGTTGTCTGCTCCTTGTTTTGCTATCTCCGATTGATTTCACCGATCTCCCGCTTCTTGATAGATAAGACAAAACATTTTTATGCAAAAATAATTGAAAGATGAGGGAACAGTTTTTAAGGAAAAATAGATTTTCAAAAATAATGTTTGGAAAAGGTCACTGTCAAGTGTCATGTCAAGTCAAGCTTAATATGCGTCATTCGGAGTTGATATTTGGAGATCTGTATGATCACTTGCTGGGAAGTATTCAAAGTTGCTCTAAACTGCCGATGAACCTTATTGAAATTTTGATGCCATCCTCAAAATTTCTGTCCCAGTTAACTGTCTTGGTTTATCTCGAACCGTTGGTGAACAAATCACAGAATTTTTTAGATCTCCTCAAAATTTTTGTCCCAGTTGCAAATCTCAAAGTAACTTCAGTCTTGACTTCGTTGGAGAGATCTTCTTCTTGAGAATTTTTGAGTCCCTCTCAAAAATTCTATCCCAGTTTCTATTGTAAAGGAAAAATAGAAATCTTACGGGAGATATGACCGAGCCCTTGTGGCGCCTACGTATCTCGTTGAGGCAGGAATTAGGTCGAACGTAGTTCCCCCTCAAGGATTAAAAAAAATAAGAAAATTACACATAAATCGACCGAGGCCGACATAGGCCGCCTACGTATCTCATTCTTGAGAATTTAGGTTGAACGTAGTTCAAATACAAGGAAAATATTAAAAGGGGATAAAGGGGTGACCGAGGCCGACATAGGCCACATACGTATCTCATTCTTGAGAACTCAGGTCAGACGTAGTTCATTACAAAAGGGATAAAATTTTAAACGAAGCGATTACAAGCAAATGGAACGATTACGAGGAAATGACAGGAAAACAAATTGAAACTTCACGCATAGTATCTCTTGACAGCATCTGAGTTGATCGATTTTGGCCATTCAGTGCCAACCATCTCCGCCAGGACCAAAGCACCTCCAGACAACACTTTACGAACCATGTAGGGTCCTTGCCAATTTGGTGCAAATTTCCCTTTATACTCATCTTGATGAGGAAAAATTCGTTTGAGAACTAATTGACCAATTTTGAATATTCTGGCTCTTACTTTCTTGTGGAAAGCACGGATCATTCTCTGTCGATACAGTTGTCCATGACAAACAACAACCATTCTCTTCTCATCAATCAACGTTAACTGATCAATCCGTTTGCGGACCAATTCAATATCACTCAATTCAGCTTCTTGGATGATTCTCAATGAAGGTATTTCAACTTCTGCAGGTATAACTACTTCTGTTCCATATACTAGCAAATATGGAGTAGCTCCAACTGATGTCCTGACAGTCGTTCGGTAACCCAACAAAGCATATGGCAACATCTCGTGCCAACCTCTGCGATTATCAATCATTTTCCTCAAAATCTTCTTTATATTCTTGTTGGCGGCTTCTACAGCTCCATTCATTTGGGGACGATAGGCAGTTGAGTT